TTAGTTGTTTTTAATAATTTTAATAGGAGAATGTTAAAACATAAAAAAATCATTAAAAAATTTAATGTTTTCTTTAAAAAATTATTTTTAAAAAATATCATTAATAATATTATCAAATATATATTATGTCGTTAATTTCAAGACTTCTAAAATTAATCAAGTATATATAAATTAGTCTAAATATATATTAATTAAAAAAACTGTTTAAACTGCCGGGATTAAGAAAACTAATATTGCATCTCAATACATTATAATACTTATTATAATGAATATGTTCATACGACGCTACCTTTTTTTTATAAAAAGCCAGGACTCGAATAGAAAATATAAGTTTTTTTAACTCGTGCATATACTCTGGATATAATTATTCCGAGCCAGATTTACCTGTGTAGTTTATCTCCATCAACCTGAAGTGACAAATGGGGACAGAGGTTCCTGTCGGTGGACCCCTTCTTGACTGCGACACCATCCCCTGTAACTTTTGTGGGGACGTCAAAGAATCGTTGAAATTTTCCTATATTCATGGGGAAAAATCCTGTGATTTTGTAAGCTGAAATATAATTTTATTAAATCACTAAGCTTCGTACATTGGAAATTTGGAATCACCAATCACGGGATCCCATGCTTATCTACTATCTAGTCCTCAAATTCAAGTCAACACAGAAAAATCAGAAAAGCAAAAACAATCCACGTGTTGATGAGCTTGGTGAGAAAAACTCAGATAAATTGGACACATCAGTGAGTTTTATCATTTATGTTTATTAACCAGTGAATCGTGTGCCAGTATATTGTTTCACTCTTCACGGCAACTTGAAAGGAAACAAGACTGTCATTTCTAAGGGCACCGCCGTTGATTGTCTTTTTTATGGAATTGAAGTGGGATCATTTTCAGAGAAGACACCATGAAGGATGGAGGTGGCCTTAGAAGCCAGAGCTGTAATTACCCCTCAATCTTAGTATTTTTTACTTTCTCTATCGTTGCGTGTGTTCTTTTCAATGAAAATTTTGTGGCACTCCCATTTCCAAGATTCAAAGGGATCTTGGAGGAGTACCCAGCAGTTCAAGAAAATAGCAATATTGATGATGATAGGCCCTCAGCAAAGGGTACAAAAGAAAATGTAAATATGGAGCTGGTTTCTGTTGAAGGAGATCATGAAGAAGTGGTGTTGCCACGGAAAGAGTGTGATATCTTCTTAGGAGAGTGGGTTCTTGATAAGTTGACTCATCCTCTATATAAAGAAGAAGACTGTGAGTTCCTGACTGATTCAGTGACTTGCATAAAAAATGGAAGGAAGGATTCAATGTATCAAAATTGGAGATGGCAGCCAAGAGATTGCTCTTTGCCCAAGTAAGTACTCTCTTTGCTTTCCTGATCAGCTCAGTTCTAGTCTCTTCTAATTAGTATATGAGTCATTGTATATATATGGTTTCTACTTTGGTCTAACTCAGGTTCAAAGCAACGTTGTTGCTGGAGAAACTTAGAGGGAAGAGGCTTATGTTTGTAGGAGATTCATTGAATCGTCAGCAATGGGAATCCATGATTTGTCTGGTCCAATCTGTGATTCCTCCAGACAAGAAGAGTTTGTCAAGCAGCTCAAGTTTTCTCAGCGTCTTCAAAATTGAGGTATCTCTTTACTCCCTCAAATTAAGATCACTTTTCATACCTAGAATAAATCACATCGACACAGGTTTAGTTTTTGCTTTGTAATCCCTCAAATTAATGTGTAGAATGGCAGTAAAGGTGGTGAATTATGCCATCTATTAATCTAGTGGAGAATTTATCATCATCATATGATTTGATTCATCTGTAAATTTGAAGGACTACAACGCTACCATAGAGTTTTACTGGGCTCCTTTTTTGGTCGAGTCCAATTCGGATGCTGTATCAAATAGGAATGGCCAATCGGACCGCGTTATCATGCCCGAATCAATCTCAAAACATGGAGATGACTGGAAGAATGTCGATTACCTTATATTCAACACTTATATTTGGTGGATGACGTCTATTTATACAAAAGTATTGTAAGTATCAAGTCTTTTTTTCCCCTTTCAATCCAGCTTCTGTGCATATTTAATCAATAGTTTTAGCATAACCAAGAGGTTGATTCCCTTCTTGTGGAGTTATGGAAAAGGCGAGGAGGATCATTTGTTGAAGGCCCCATGGAGTATGATGAAGTTGAGTTGCCAATAGCATATGAGAGAGTTTTGAGGACGTGGGCCAGATGGGTGGAGGAAAATGTTGATCCCAAGAATTCCTCTGTTTTCTTCAGTAGCATGTCTCCTACCCATGCCAGGTGCAGCAATCTAACTCCTAGTCCTTGTTTTAGCACCAGATTGTGTTCATTTCATACGTTTTGTGTTCTTTCTTCTTACTTTTTTTTCATCCAAAATGCATCTTGCCCCTGCCAATTGCAATTTTCTTTTTGACTGCGTTTCTGGATGCATTAGGCACTAAAATTTTATATGTTAGAATGATTTCAGTTTTAAGCTGACAACGTCACGGAAAATGCAACAGGAACCTGGACTGGGACAATCCTGCTGGGATTAAGTGTTCTAATGAAACTAAACCGATCCTAAACAAGTCCAAGCCATTCGATGTGGGAACGAACCGACAACTTTTTGCGATCGCAGTGAATGTGACTCGTTCAATGAAAGTACCAGTCAACTTCCTCAATGTAACCACATTGTCTGAATATCGGAAAGATGCACACACGTCCATTTACACAGCTATTGAAGGCAAGTTACTCTCGCCAGAGAAAAAGTCTGACCCGCTCAAGTATGCCGATTGTTTGCACTGGTGTCTGCCTGGACTTCCTGATACATGGAATGAGCTGCTCTACACATATATCATCTCTCGTACTTGACTCAAACAGATTACATTCTGGTTTTTTCTTTGGTAATTTAATTTAATTGATTCTCAATGAAAGCATATAATTGCTATATAACCTCTGCAATTTGATTATTTGTTGATGTTGAGTTAATTTTAAAGGTAAAGATGTAATGAAATTGAAACAGCGCAATCAATATATGCTCGTGTGTATAACCCTTCGATGAAAAACATTTCTCGTTCCTCGTGAACTTTAGTTGAAATCGAAAAGGTGATTAATAAAAATAAGTGACCCCTCAACTAAATGGAATTTATTGAGGTATAAAGATTTCATGCCACCCACTCTTAGCTGGTGATAAAGGCATCTTGTGAAGTATGAAATTATTCTTAATTCCTTATCTCTACAAAATAAATAACTTCAGTACTTGATTCATTTCTAAAAAAATGTTCACTGATAATGTTAATACGGGATAATCTACAAGCTCATACGCTACAAAATCTGGAGGTCGTTGCAAAATTCGCAATTCATCTAAAAAATTCACAATTATCTATTAGAGTCTTCCTTAAGGCAGTAGTTGAAAGACCAGATTACATACAGTTTTTAAGAAAACTTGGAAACTTCAATGAACGTGAATAATATTGGAAATGCAAAACATTTCTTCATTAATTAGGTATGATAATAACATATGTATGTTAATTACAGCTATTGAAGTAGATATACTAAACATTGATCACATTACTTCTGCACTTCTTTAGTTTTATCTCCATGTCATTCATTCACAACTCTAAGGCATCAAATCCAATTGGAAACAGCCGCAATGAAGCATGTCAGTGGCAACCTGAAATATTGCCGTTCAATATCCATATTACTCGTTTCAGTAATTTTTTTATTTTATTTCCTTGCTTGCCATGTGTTCAAGGAGCATGTATACTTCAACTTGTTTTCATACGAGCGGAAAGGGCCAGCAGTTCAAGAAACTCCGAAGAATGTCAACAATGATCATAAAGTTGAAGCAGAAAGTGATCAAGATGTGAATTCATCAGTCCCTAACAGAAAAGCTGAAAAAACTATAGAACCATTAGAAAGTTGTGACATTTTCACAGGAGAATGGGTTTTTGATAACGTAACACGTCCTTTATACGAAGAAGATGAATGTGCGTTTCTCACAGAAGGGGTTACCTGCGGGAAAAAAGGGAAGCAGGACTCCACGTACCAGAATTGGAGATGGCAACCGAGAGATTGTTCTTTGCCCAAGGAAGGAAACATTTTTCTTTCTGTGTGTCATCTCATCGTTTTTTACTAATATTCATGTATTCTTTGAGGCTTTTTGTTTTGTTTTGTTACTCGTTCATGTATCATCATCATGACACCAAATGTATTAACAGGAATTGTCTCCCGGTCATAATTGCCACCCACGTTCGCTTTCCTGGGAAAGATGCTAATTATTTTTATGCATCTCTGATCAGGTTCAGTGCAGAATAGTTGCTGGAAAAACTTAGAGGAAAGCAGCTTATGTATGTTGGAGATTCAATAAATCTAAATCAGTGAGTATCACTATCTTGCTTGGTCCAGTCTGCCATTCCACCAGCCAAGATGAGATTTTGTTATCCGGACTAATCCAGGCCTTTATAATAGAGGTAATGATTAAACACAAATACCTAATTCCATCGGCAAGTCTTTTCATTTGCATGCAAAGAAGCCTGAAACCAAGAAAATCAATTTAAGTGGGAAAACAAAGGAACATAACTTTCGTTGAGACAAAGTCAAGAATTACTGAAATTACTCTGATTAATCTTCTGTTTTAATTATCTTTTTTTCGGGAATACAATGTATCCATTGAATTTTACCGGGCTCCATTTCTGGTTGAATCCAATTCAGACACTCCAATGTCAAGGGACGGGAAAAGGGACCCCATAATCATGGCTGAATCAATTTCAAAGAGCACTGGTGATAATTGGAAGTAGATAGACTATCTCATTTTTAGTACTTGTATATGGTGGATGAGGCATCCCACTATGAACAAGTACCAAGTTCAACCGTGTTTCTAGCTAATTCTCCATCTCTCTGTTTTAGATAAGAGTAATTTTCATCAATTAATTTGATACTTGTGATTTGATGAGAAAGGCAATGGGCCAGCAATATTTATGATGAAATTGATCGGCATATAGCATTTGAGAGAGCTTTGAGGACATGGGCCAAATAGGTTGAAGAAAATATTGATCCTGATCGAACGAAAATCTTCTTCAACAGCGTGGCTCCTCAACATGTCTGGTAATTTATTTTGTGTATTGAGCTAACTTGATATCTTGTGCAGTCATCTTCTATCAATCAACAATAACTTCTTTATACTACAAAATTAGTTGAAAGTTGAGCTATAAAAAGTATAGAATAAATTGTTTTTGCTCTTCGACAATTATGTGTTGGGAATTTCCGACCGGTGATGTACTGATATTTGCTCATAGAAGGAGAAGCACACTGAGAAACGGTATTTTACGTGGTTCGGCAAACCGTCTACATCCATAGGAGAAGCCATTGCATTATGTAGGGAGAGTAGAAGATTTACAACAATAGAGGAGGAGGAATCATCCCCTCTTTGACAACTCTCAACCTCACTCTATTTCTCTTTTTAGTGCTGCAATGGCAGCCCACTTTCTCCTACATTTCTCACATCTTTGGCTCTACTTCCTCTCTCTCATATATGCCTCTATTTATAGGCATTCATGGAAGCTCTTCTTGGTTTGTTGTCAACATTGGTGGCTACCAATTCTAGCTCATTCAATAATGATGGTCACCAACTCTATCTCATTCAACAATGGTGACTACCAATAGTTAATGGTAAATGGTTGATGCCTTCCATGAAATGTCAACCACCCTAACATTATGGATACACTGTCACTGTAGCCAACAACAAAACCTAGCTCACTTCAATTTTTAATGGTGCTCGTGGGGGCGAGTTACTCTCTCCAGAACAAAAGTCTAACCCAGCCATGCACGCAGATTGTGTTCATTGGTGTCTCCTGGGAGTGCGTGACGCATGGAATGAATTATAGTACACGTATATTGCTTTCCACTCTTGAGCGACAGCAGTTCCTTTTTCCTACTACAGGTTTTTTTTTCCTGTTAATCTTCGTGTAATGTACAAGTTGTGTTACGGATTTAGTTCTATTAGGAGAAGTAGATTAGAAATTGTCGAAATCAACTTTGTTATTACAATTTAATTTAGAAGAGCACATTCATGATTTGTTTGACAGTTAAAAAGAGGCAAGCTTTCAATTGATTTCCGGAGGAAAGAGGACATTTTTTCAAGTGCCCAACTCATGAAATTTTGGTAAGCACTTGATGTGAAAAAGTAGCATAGAACCACAATGAAACTGAATTTAACCAAGCATGTAATATTATGTCATCATATTCTAGACTGGTAAAAAAATACAATGAAAAATCCCAGTAACAAGTAAAATCTCGACGGCTTATCATTTTACATCATGACATTCATGATTGGATTTTATTTTGATATAAATATTTATATCTAATCAACGCTTGAAGAAGAAGATGACAAAAGTGTTCTAAAATTGAAGTAAGTCATCCCAGCACTTTTTAAGGTCGTTCCTAAAACATTCGTCTCAAGGGAACCTATCAGAATGGGGAAAATGTAAAACGAGTCATTTAGAAAGCTTAATCCGACAGAAAAGTTATGAGGAATCTCTAATAATAATAATAATAATAATAATAATGTGGGCTTCTTTAAAGTAGATTTGTTGATGGGCAGGCTCTCAAAGTACATCTATAATGGACCTGGAAACTTGGATCACTGGGCCTACTAAAAAGAGATCCCATCGATAACCTGAGACATTCCCGAAGGTTCTACTAGAGCACACTCTCGGGGGGTGCTAATGAAAAACCATCCTAAAAATCCCTACCGACTGGAACCTTTAAAGCGCTGGCATAGAGATGCTGCCCGAGACAACTTACTGCTTCAGTGGTTGATCCAACCTCATGTTTTCAATCTCAAGTCGTATGAGGCTTGATTTTTGCAATTAGTTTTTGTCCGAGGCTCTTGTTTTTTCTTAAATTTCTAGCTTGGTAGCAGGCTTATTGGATATAATATTGGACTGCGAATCTAGGACAATCGATCCCACCTTTAATCTATCTCGTTCTTAACACGAGTTGGATTTGATCTCAGATGGTCACATGTCCCGCACATTCTTTCTTCAAGGAGAATCTGTCGGGTTTGTTTTTTCTTCTTTTTTTTCTTTTAATATTGCACGATGAGAAAAATCCAAAACTTTAAATTGTTCATCATGACGCTCCCATGCGTAGACTTTAAGAGTTCTGAAGATTGGATAGGAAATACTCTACGCCCAAAATTATAACGTGGGCACGTGATATTGCTGCGTCGGCACTCTGGTAAATAGGCTCGCCTTCCCTTGAATTGATTGCTAATTACTAATTGCCAGTGCAAGTAAATCTGTTTTACTTGGCTAATTGCCTCTCTCTGAGGTTGCTAGTGCTAGTTCCAAAGGATGCTATTAGAAGGGCAGCAATGACACTTTCTGGGCCTGAATATTTTAATTAATCAAATAAATCTTATATCCATCAAAACAAAAACATAATGAAATAAGGAATTGCATCTCTATGATTTCAAAGAAGAATAGGGTTTTTAATCTAGAGTAGTGCCCTGCGAGTAGCTGTCATGGCAAATTATATTCATCAGTCAATAATCACGAGAGTTGCTAGGAGCACAGCTTTGGTAGGTAAGGACATGAGACGTTCGATTTGACATTTATACAAATAGCATAACACAAAGTATTGAGATTGACGCATGAACGATCAAGTTTATATGGACCATATAATCATTAGTAGAATCACAGCGTATGCAGTAGCCGAACACTTTAAACTTCAACATGATTTTTCACTTTAACAATATTTCAAGATATTCTTATTTCTATCTATTACAAAGTAGTTAACAAGAATTTGTTTAGTTACAGTGGCATGCCAAAAGGGCAAGAATCGAATTAAATTAATGATCACAGGTCAGAGAAAGCAGTTCAAAAGAAAGCTTAAGAGATTCTAGCTAACAGGAGGGCACGTGTGAATTCCATGCGTTAAAAGTAAAAGATAGAAACAAGCTTGTGAAAAAAAAGAGAGGGAGAGAGATTTACTGTGTTTGGTAATGTAATGTAGAGTATTTTTTAAAAGTGTTATTAAATTTAAAATGAATCAAAAATATTTTTTTTTATTTTTAACATTAAAAAATCTAAAAAAAACAATTTAATATTTTTTAAATAAAAAACAATTTTAAAAACAAAAACAACTGCAATATCAAGCATGAACATATAAATACAAATGCTCTCACATGATTTTTTTTTTTATTTTTTACTGGAAATAATTTTGTCTTCTAATTATATATATTAAAACCTGAACAACTTGATAAAATCAGATTGAAGTGGAACACGGCAGGTCTTGCTTTCTCTCATCAATCAAAAATATATTTAGAATTAGTCAACACACGATTTCTTCCCCTTATAATTTTAATGGTGTTCGTTGGTTTGTAGGAAGTTAGGAACTGTGAAAGACAAAACTGCATCAATTTTATGGGCAAGGCTTGCCATTATTAAAGGAAAGTGGATGCTAGCTAGCATTGCTACTAATCAAATAACTATATTTCCATTATGTATAAAAAAAATTGTATATATCTTCACAGCATCAATAAATTATCATAAACGGGAAGACTAATGGTTGAAAAAAGAATAAGAAGGAAAACTAATGACACCGACATTAGTTTTCTTGTTTTTTTTTATTATTATTATTCTTTTTCAGCACTCTTTCATAATTCGTAGCGTATATAACTCACCCCAAGGCAAACCCAGTTCCTCTAAACAGTCACGATGAAGCAGGGAAACTTTGGCAATCTCAAACTCCAACACCCTAAACTCGTATCAACGACTGTAGCAATATTCTTGATCTCTGTCCTTCCTTGCTTTGTTTTCAGTGAGCACACAGATTTGGGATCAATCCCATCCCACTTAAAGAGTGACAAGAGTCATCATCGAACTGAAAGAAAACAAGAAGACAAAGAAGTGTTCGTGTTAACCAAACAAGTGGAAAAGCTTCGATCGAAAACAAAGGATTCTTGTGATATATTCACAGGAAAATGGGTTTTTGATAACAAAACACATCCTTTGTACAGGGAGGACGAATGTCCTTATATCCAACAATGGATTTCATGCACAAAGAATGGAAGGCCGGATTCCATGTACCAGAGTTGGAGGTGGCAGCCAAAAGGTTGTTCTTTACCAAAGTAAGTATATTTATTTCTTTGTTAATTATAACTTATAAAGTATCATGATCAATATGAATTCATTAATTGTTTGTAGTTTATGCTATTAGTTATTCGTAATTGATACTATTTAAGGAATATTGCTGTTGTTAATAAATAAATATATAATATATTTTTTTTGACGGGGGATGAAGGTTCAACGCAAAATTGTTCCTAGAGAAACTTAGAGGGAAAAGGCTTATGTTTGTTGGAGATTCGATACATCAAAATCAGTGGATGTCCCTGGTTTGTTTGGTTCAATCCGCCATTTCACCTGGCAAGAAGAGGACAACCTTTTCCACGTATAGCAACCGTTTCATCATTGAGGTAACACATACATACATTGTCGACCTACTTAAGCTTTTCTTTCCTATATGTTCATTGCCTTGGGACCAAAAAAGAAGAAGAAGACGACGACGACGACGAGGATAAGAGATAGAAATCAAGGGGGGAAGGAATTCAGGAGTGTAAGTTTTTCTATGAGGCAGTAATTAAGGGATTTACTGGCAATTACAACATGATTTTTGTTTTCTTGATCAGGAGTACAATGCTACCATTGAATCTTACTGGGCTCCGTTTCTAGTAAAGTCGAACGGAGACCCTCCCAAAATGAGGAACGGAGCATCGAACATTTCAATAATTTCTGATTCAATTTCAAAGAAGGGACAGAAGACTTGGAAGAAAACAGACTATCTCATCTTTGACACGTACGCCTGGTGGATCAAGCATCCCACTGTGAGACTGATGTAAGGACTATATTATGCTATATGTATGTGTACTCAAGAATAATTAATTCTTGAAGTCTTCATTTTTAGATAAGAGTAATCTCGATCATAACAGTAAGCAAGCTAACTCTTTACTTGTGTGCTCGATGAAAAAGACGAGGACCATTTGACGAGAGGGCCAAGGAGTATGATGTAGTCGAAGCACATGTTGCGTATGAAAGATCGTTAAGGACATGGGCCAAGTGGGTTGACGAGCATGTTCATCCTAGTCGTACCGAAGTTTTCTTCAACAGCATGGCTCCTCTACATGTCAGGTAAATATCAAGGAATTCCCCCTTTTTTTTATGGTTCGATAGCTAGACGTATTTTATATTAGTTTAAACATTAATCTTAATTATTTTTTTCTCAAATTATTAAAAAAAAAGACGACTTCTATATCAGCACAGTTTATTCAAGGGATAAATTCTCTCGAACCTTACGCTCAAATTCAAAAAGTAAACGAAGAAATTAAATCTCTTTAATCACCTACCTATCTTTGAAATTTTGTTTTGTATATCATTTATTTTAAAGAATACAAAATAGTTTTATTAATTTGATAAAAAAAGAAAGATAATTTCTTCAACGCATGCAATGCACGTGATCAATATATAACTCACCTTGAAATTTTTAAAATTAGAAGTATTAACTTAAAAATTCATCAAAAATATAAGATTAAATTATAATCCACTCTTGGCCTAGATTAAAAAAAAAAATAGTGTCCTTAATTTGTTTGTCGGTTGTTTTAATATTACCCTATCAGCAAGAATAATATAAAATTATAGACTTTCCGTACAATTAACTAAATATAAAAATACACCCTTAAAGTCAATAACTTTTAAGCGACATTTAAAATTTCAATTAAAATAATTATACATGTACTAGAAATGATCTTTTCCTATTGAAATTGCATAATTGTAATTTAATATTTTTATCATTTTATAATTAATTAATTTATTATTTTTTTAATCTTTATATTTTGTAATATTTTTTAGTTTTTCCTTCTTATTTTTCTTTACTGCTTTTGAAAAAAAATATTATTATTTTTTTATTTTTCACACTTCTTGTCCCTCTATGCTTGGCCTATTTATGTTTTTTTTTTTTGTTGTTATCTTTACTTTTTTTTATAATTTGTGTTAATTTTTTTAACACTTTTTGTTTTTGAAAAATTATTATACAAGAGCTAAGAAAATAGTGCTTCAATATAGCAATTACAATATTATTTCATTTTTTTATCTTGTTAAAATAAATTTGATATCTTACATGTTTTTATTAATACTTATGATTTTTATTGTATTTTATTATATATAAGTATCAACTTTTTAATTTATGATTATAATTTTTACTCAATATTAAAAAATATGTTAATAATATTTAATTTTTTATGTTAAAAAAATTATTCAACCTATGGAGAGGCAAATTGAATAGATGAGTTAACATTTTATTTTTTGTATTTATTGGCATAGAAGATTCTTGATATATTTAACTAAATGCATGATTTTTTATATAATATTTATAATTTAAAAAAAAATTAAAAAATTACATATTTATTTTTATTCCTGTAAAAAAAATTATCCAACTCCCAATGAATCATATAAAATCTACATGGAGTCTAATCAATTCATGATATTCTTGGAAAGCGAATTTTTAAAGATATCTGCATTGTTTCTCCATATTAATTCCAGTCATAGAGAATAAAATCTTAACCTTGGAAAAAAATTTCTTACACTCTAAGTTTGATTCATGCTGTCTGAAAATTAATTAAAATCCTCTCACTGTCGATTCATACCTCTAAATTGATTCTTACGTGCTTCCAAAATATGTATCATTATCCATTGAGTTTAAAACTCTAATTTCTGATATTGATAAAACTGAAATCAAGTCTTATTCTTGAAAATCAGTTCTTAACCTTTGAACATGAAGTCTTATCATTTGAAATTTAATACCAACCACATTAAATCAATTAAAATATACCTTGAAATCAACTCCTATCATCCAACTGCTAATTCCTATCCTTTGAAAATCAACTTGTATCCTCAAAATCTGAATTCTCACCTTACGAAATTGATTCCCATAACAGGGATTAACAAAATAGAAATTCAATGACAGCCTTTTTAACCTATGAAATTCGATTTCATCTAATATCAGTCCTTTCAATATCAATTTTTACCATCTAAAATTGATTTCTAGTCTATTGTCAATCTTTCTTGTATAAAATTTGATTTGACCCTGAAAATTGGTTTGCTACCATTTAAAATTGATTTATATATACTAATTGATAATAACTTACAGTCCCTTCAATATCAATTTTTTACATTGAAGTTGATTTCTACCTTATGAATTATGGCATAAAATTGATTTCTATCTTTTCAAAATCATATCCCATCCTCTAAATATGGATGTCTACCCCCTGTAATTGAATCGCTACCTTCTTTGTAATCGACCCGTACCCTTTAAACGTTAATTTCTATCTTTCCGATGACCCACTAGTGATTTTATTCTTCTGATAACCCCCCAATGAAAATTATTATCCTCTGAAATTGATTAATAACCTTTAAGAATGGATCCCTTCCATCTAAAATTCAATCACACTCTTACAACATCAATTTTTATCGCCTGAAATTGATTCATATCACCTAAACGGACGTATAAGCATATCCCTTGATAGAGATTTATAATTCATTGTTTATACACACACACACACACAAGCACGGGCTTTCGTGGTCCACAGCACAACGAAAGGGAAAAAGGCAAAAAAATAAGTTTACTGTTCCTTTCAGCAACAGCATAATAATAACATGGATTGGAAATGGAATATCTTGATGGGGACTGTAACTCTTGAAGTTGATTAATTAGAAAGATTGGCGATGGCGGATTACAACTTACAAGTGAATGCAATGCGTTACAGGGCCTTGGACTGGAACAACGCAGATGCGGTTATGTGTGAGAAAGAGACTACTCCAATTCTGAACATGTCCATACCATTGGAGGGTAGCAATGACCATCGATATTTTGCAATAGCAGAAAAGGTGATCCATTCAATGAAATTTCCAATCAAGTTTCTCAATATAACCACCCTCTCCGAGTATAGAAAAGATGCACATCCTTCTATTTATAACAAGGTGCCCTCACGGGAGCAGAAAGCAAATCCAGCCAAGTATTCCGACTGTGTTCACTGGTGTGTCCCTGGGCTGCCTGATACATGGAATGAGCTGCTCTACGCATACATCACTAACCAATATTGATTTCTATGCCGTTTTCTTCTATACTAGTATTGGTGTTTCAATGAATTCTTGTTCATCGTCATCATCACCTAATTATATAGTTGGCAGCTCATTAAAATGAGGAATTAAGTTGCCTTTTATTTGAATATCCTGAAGCAAATGTGAACGGTGTATCTCTTAAGGGTATTGTTAAATTCACTATGAAATTTAATATTTTCACTGCTTGCTCTTCAAGATGGACTAGCGTGGCCTCTTTAAATCAACATCAATGGAGAGGGTTGATCAATCTGGAATATTATAACCATTAATGGAGAGAGTATACTGGCTATTTTAAAGAATAAGCAGTGATAATTACAAAACTATCGTTGAATTTAGCAGCACCCATCGGGGCCTCTCTTAATAATATATCTAAAATCTAGAATGTGCAGCATTTTGATGTTATTGCCATAATTAATATCAATACCCTTTTTTTTTACTTATTTTGTTTATAGATCTGAACCCTTGCAGGGTTTAAGATGCTTGAAAAGTTCCGTTTGCCAAAGTTTTCACAGATTCAATAGCTGTGCAGTACAGTATATACGTTGGAAATAAAAGACAACGCCCTGAAAATAGGGGGGTTTTCTAGTCGGGCTGCCAAGCATCACATCACCTGATTTGAATTTCGACAGTAAAAGACAACGCCCTCTGAAAATAGGGGGATTTTGTAGTCGGGCTGCCATGCATCTTGACACCTGATTTGCATTTCGGCAGTAAAAGACAACGCCCTGAAATTAGGGGGATTTTTTAGTCGGGCTCCCAAAAATCATATTATCTAATTTGAATTTCGGCCAGCGACGCGCTAAGCGCCTCACCAGCACAAGAACGTTGAGAGCTTTTCGTTTCTGGGTCTGTGACACATCCAGTCCAAGCATTAGTGAAGACTATGGGTTTTTGAGTTTGGGCTTTCATCATGAACTTATCGACTTTTTTGGATTTGGGCCTCTGACGCAATTTGTATGGTTCAATCTGCCATTCCTCCTGGCATGAAGAGCTTGGAGTCTTGGACTCTTCAGGCTATATCACTGCTTTCAAAATTGAGGTTCTCTCTGCTTCATTCTAGGCGTCCTCGGAAAGAAAGAAGAACGACAAAATTGAATGAATAACATTGTGAACATACTGCACAAACTAGTTCACAAGACCCAAGTTTTTTCTACAAGCAACCAAGCTGAGATGTTTGGCTATAACATTCGGTTGTCGGCGATACCTTTGGTAGCCTTGGAAAATCCTGAGAGCTTCATGGATTCAAATTTTGTTTATTTTCTAGGACATTCATATTGGGCAAACTACGTTGAACAATTGGCAAGTCCTTTCTCATCCCATTTGTTTTCGGCTGGATTTGCACCATAATGATCCTGATAGCATGTCCAATGCAAATAAATAATAATAGAAACAGTCTCCGAGATGAGACTCATTATTTTCATAACTTGATCAAATTCAAAGAGAAACATCACTTATTAATTAAAATACTAGACATTGAACAGGTAGAGAAGGGCTTGCTTGAGATCGGCCCACATGGCCAGTTTATTGTTTTACTTGAATTTCCAGGACTATAATGCTCTAGTTGAGTCCAATTCGGACCCTCCAACCATGAGAGCTGGCAAATCAGACGCCATTGTAATACCCGAAACAATGTCCAAACATGAACGTAACTGGAAGGATTAAGACCACCTAATCTTTAACACATAACCTGGTGGTTAAAGTATCCCACGATGGAAGTGTTGTAAATCCTATCCTATGTGATTTTCTTCTTCTTAAACTTTGGAGAGTTTTGCTAGTGATGTGAGAGATTCAAACCCATCTGTTGGCAAAATGGATAAACAAGACAAACTTCATAGAGGCACCGAGTTTATCCAGCTATTTGATTGAAATCATTAAAAGAAATTTATGCATTCAATTGGATGCTAATAATGTTATGGAGGCAAAACACTGGAGATCAACGTTAATTTAGCTGTGAATTTTGTAACGAGGGGCCAGGTAATGAAGGAAATATAGGATGGGAGCGGGGAGGATTTCATCATTGGAGATTTCATGTACGCTCTAATGTTGCTAATAACGACAAAAAATATACAATAGACAAATACAGATAAATATAATCTGCATACAAATTTCACATTGAAAAACACCTCCGCGTGCCAAAAGGAGAACCTCTAGTAGGTTCCGTTTCGAGGCAGGTGCAGTTGCTCCCCACTTACTCCCTGAAGCATGATGAGCCGATATCAATTCTCTGCCACAACCACTTCGCTGGATGACATAGAGGTTCCACTTTGGTTAAGACTTCCAGTTCCAACTTCTTCATGAACTCGTGCCTTTTTCCAACTTCACAAAACCTTGCATTTTGAAACAGCTCAAGAGCGAAAGAAACAAGAAACCAAACTACAGTCCCGTTTCTCACTTCCTGAAACCTAACGTAGAACAATTTTAAAAGTACGATTTCTGAAGTTGCAAAACTGTGGAGTTGGACACGCTTCCTTACCTTCCTTTGAAAGAACACAGCATCCATACCTCATCCACTGACTTGGGGAGAAACCAATAACTTATCTATCTCACCAATTGCATTGATGTGAGTTCTTGGCAATAACAAACGCAGCAAGGGAACCGAAGATGCTGACACAAGCTTGGGCTTAACTCTCTCCATTGCTGTCTTGATTATGGACGATGATGGTACTGCAAACCATTGAAGATACCAAGATAGAAGCACAGAATTTTTCTCTCCCTCTGTTTGATCATTGGGCCATCTCCCAAAATTCAAATAGTTGCAAAAATCAATTTTCAATCCCTCTGAACAATGTAGCAGCTCTTCCACCCGCTTTTTAAGTGATCCTAGAAAGACAGATTGAATAATGCTACCTCTTGGTGTAGTCAGTCTTCCACTGAGAAGGGCCTCGTTATAGGTTAAAGCTAGCTGCAAACAGAACAACATTATTTCAGTATTGTTATGCACAAACCCTTCCATCTAGAAGCTTCCAGAAATAGGTTCCGTAAACTCCGTTAGTTTTGCTTTCTATTCTCAAAGGGAATCCCCTAATAATTTTTTAATGGCCTTTATGTATTTCTGATCTCTCCATCTTCTGGCTTATAAAAGTTTGGCATCATGGCCTATGTTATCTCTCATATTTCACTATTCTTGGGGCCCCACATATCATACCAGTTTTATCGGGCCAAGCCTGTTGGTTGTGTTGGTGTGAAGTATATCATGTTAAACATAAGTTTGTTAGGTATAAAAACCCATTGTAATGTATACCAGCTTATGGTGATTGTCTTGAAGTTCTAACATGAAGGAAACCTGATGAGACAATTCTAAATGACAAATTAATCAATTCAACCTTCAGCATGTTCTACTTGTGTGATTCCAATTATGTGATCTGCCCACTAGCCCACCAACCCCAAACATTGGTCAGCTTTGGCCCCATGACCTAGGTGGCATCTGCACTCAGTATGCCATACAACGTTGCAGGAATTTATGTTAGTTTCACATATCATTCACTTTCAAATGACAATAAATACAAGTTTCTTAAATACTGTGCCTCATCATTCTGCAGTTATATTCTAGGTCACAGCCAGATCTTTGTTGTTTAATCAAGGCATTATTTTGTGAAGCAAATGGTATGCAATCAATTATATGGAAGAAATGACCTAGTTCAATTAGTAGGTAAGATGCTAGGACTAACAAAAAAAATTTACCTTTAAACTAGACAAAGCGAGTGAATCTCCAATAATAAAAGTACCATTTGTAACTTGGTCAGTCATTGAACCAATTGTAGTATATAATGATAAATATACCTGCAAGAATTTGAGGAAAATAACCATATTAGAATGACAATACATCGAAGCAGGATCGTTTCAGCAAAATATTCCATTCAAAAAGACTTCAAATCAATCTGTCCGTAGACACCTTGCAAACACATACCTAGATATGGTGGACTTTTTTCCAGAGCACTTTGTACTTGGGGCGCCTTATTTATTTATTTATTCTAGTATCTAACAGGCACTAATTGTGTCCAATAAATTGAATTAAAATTAGTTCTAGAAACAAAAAAGAAGCCATGAAATTTACAAGAGAACAGATCCACCGAGGAAATCAGTACAATATGCATTCTTACTGGCTCTTAATTTTCTACATGGTGAATTAGCAATTAAAAAATCATTTTATTTTATATTCTACTCCTATAAATCATGCATTCCAAATATTTTATTTAGTTAATGTCTAACAATTCTTTATCTAGATAATTACACTAGAATTCAAAACTTAAAATTTTTAATACAACTGTGAAAGAAATTTTCCCTGCATGGATCAATAAAAATACTTGGATGAATGAACTTTTAAATATTCAAGATTTACATGAATGAAGCATCAATCCCGAATTGCAATGATGGTTTAACAAAAATCAACTTATGCAAAAAGTTATAGATCGATAAGAGAGATTGTGTATGTTACACTTAGGTAAGCAATCTCCTGCAATTATTACCTGTAGAAGAGCTGGTCTGTCTTTGCTAATGCACTCAAATAATACTTGCAAGCAAAATTCCTGGAATTCAACATCAGATCTGCAAATAGATGCATGACTAATGTTAAGGGGGTAAGATATTTTGGACGAAGTGATAAGGGTGTAAAAAGAAATTAAGGGGTGAAGTGTTAAAGATATTTGCTAGAAAGTAGAGAAAATAAGGATAATAATTGGTCCTTAGAAAGATTAAAATATATATATATATATATCTTATATTTATGGTCTAAAATGGTAGAAGATGAAAGAAAGGAAAAGAAGTGTTGAATTAAAAAAAAAAAAAAAAAGGAGGTAAGAGCACAGAACTCAAACTTTTTCCCTCAAAATTTCTTTACCTCTCACCCCACTAGGTGAACATTTAACCCCTCTTTTGAGGTTACATTTAAACCTCCATTAAAATTCCTCTCACCATCAAACTTGTACCAAACATAAGTAAATGGGGTGAGAAATTACAATGGTAAGTTTTCGCCACCTTTACCCTCCTATCTAACATGTCCTTCTGAATGGGGTGAGAAATTACAATGGTAAGTTCTCGCCACCCTCCTATCTAACATGTCCTTCGACATACAAGAAGCCTTGGATGATTTAGGAACCAAACCAAGCAAGAAACTAACTTCTTACGCCATTTAATTCCAATAGTACAAACACTCCAGCACATTTTGCAGTCTTCTGAATGTTCAATTGAATTCTAAACCTAAGTCATTGTAAGAATCTTTCATGATAAGACAAAGCCTCTTCAGCTGTCCCAATAGCCTACACCTTAGCCTCTAATTCATTACCCAAAAGAACAAAGCCTATTTCCTATTTTTTGTTCACCCAAATCAAGGTCCCAAGAGGAGTAATCTAGACACACCCTTATTGCATGTGGTTAAAGCATCCAAATGAAAAACCAACCAAAAATATATCCCTTGCTTGGCAATCCATATTTTTCTATGACAACTTATTTGCCCATCCATATTTTTCTGACAACTTATTTGCCCATCCCAGTATAAGAATGTGATTTGTATAAAAAATAGTCCAAGTGATTTCCAGGGAACACCTCAATAGTTTCAATTTTCAATTTTCAAATTCCAAATTCAAACTTCGAGGTCTTGGTCAAATTTGACAGGGATAAAAGTGGACCATGTTTCAAAACTTGAAGGACATGCCGACTACCAGATGCACCACTGGGACATTTCATTTATGGTATCCAACTAGATCCAAGATTGTGGTGCTACAATGGCTAAAATAAAATTAAGGTGTAGATCAAAGGAAGCATTAATGTATAGACAAGAAGAAAATGCCACAGCCAACAGTGATGCATAGATCTTAAGTTCTGCAAGCTTACTTGCAATTCCAAGAAGGGTCACAGCAGAGCTGTGCAAAGGCAATTAAGCTAGGATCAGAAGAGAAGGAACTGACTAGCTGATCAACTGTAACTGAACCTGGTCCACTATGGTCACTGGTACTTGGATCACCCACTTTTATATTCGTCAAACCAAAAACCTGGAAAAGGACATGTTGTTTTGATATCTAACATATAGTAAGGCACAGTCGAGGTAAGTGTCGAATGCTGATAAAACAATGTTAAGACAACCTTGTGCATTGCTCGTGATAACAGTGATTGGCACCCTATGGGATCATCAACATATGAACAAGCTCCAACCTTCCGTTTGATGTAGATGACACCAGAATTAAATGGGTCATTCTTTTCCCCAATGCTCCACCAAGGTTTATCTGTCCATTAGTAACAGTGATCAATAAAGCATGTTAAAGTAATATTGAATAGCAGAAATTGTGCAGTGGCATACTCTAACCTTCAGGAACAAGCTCCATTACTTGAGGCCAATACCGAGGGCCACAAACACGTACACTCTTCAACTGCAACCAACATTAAACAACACATTAAGAAAAGAAGCCATTCTGGGGCTTCGTGGCAGGAAAATCACTTGTGTTCAGGGAGTGCACCCAACATTAAACACATTAAGAAAAGAAGCCATTCTGGAGCTTCCTGGCAGGAAAATCACTTGTGTTCAGGGATAGAAAACCCTGCATCACTATGTTCTTGTCCTAAACCATTCCAGGTGTGGATCTGTTTGAGCAGTCACAAGAGCAGCAGAAAAATTCCATGTCCAGTTCAAGAGAGAGAGAGAGAGAGCACATTTGCGACAGTGCAAAAGATAGAGCAAGAATCATAAAGTCATCAGTGAATCTGCAAAACTTACAATAGCACGTTCTGGCAAAATACAAGGGGTAACTTCACAAAAACTTGTTTCTGAATAATGTTCAGTTTCTTTGACAGTAACTTCAACAGGGGCATAGACAGGCAGACCACTGTCAACATCAACAGTCTGAAGCAATCGAGCCTCTGTTGCAAGGACGTATAAATGCCTGAATGCCTGAAAAACACACCATAAGAGAAATAGATGGTACGACACAAAAGAGGAGCAACAGACTCAGACTTCAGGGCTTCCAATGACACAACATCTTTGTTTTACACTAAAACCAAATAGCCATTTTTTTACCAATTAAATAAAACTGACAAGCCATTTTTCTTCAAATATTTTCTGAAAGACAAAGCTTTACATTTAGTACCACAATCCCAAAAACACACTGATCAACCATGACCAGGCAGCATCATTTGGCACCTGCTAAATTTACTGTTTGAAGCCAATAAAACTCTTACAACAAGTTATTAGGAGGTTTCCATCCTTCATGATGTTCACCATAATAGTTGTTTCTTATAGCATATAATCATGTTACCTGAAGGTGGCAACGATTATCATTTGGTACAGTGGGCAAACGTGGATACAGAGTAATAAGTAAAGCAGCAATCGAACTGTTGCTTGTGGAAAATGTCCGCATCCCTCCCCCGAGAAACAAAAAACCAATTGCCAAGCTTACCTAAATGCAATTCAGAAAGGCAAACATTAAGTTCATTGATATTCCTAAGCTTCTTATAAAAAAATATATAATTACAATACAGCAAACCAAGCTAACTGCTTTATTTCTCTCTCAATTGAATTTGTTACAGAGGAGTAGTCTTAATGGTAAATCATTTATCTCGAGCAAGAAGCACACATGAAGAATTCGAATGCACAATTTATCTTAAGCCACCAATCTTAATAATCAAATTAACCTTGCATCACTGGTGAACCCGGAAGTCAAGAGCCTAAAGTATTTTGGAACTCTTTTGATAGTAATGCAGCTCACAGATATAATTTAAATATTTCATCGTGAAGTGATTGCAAATTGATTTACTTTCATATCATGCTAAGCTGTACTGGAAATTTAAAGGCAGGGAGCTAAAACCAATTTTGCAACTTCCATCCATATAGTTTGAAAAGCTGATTCCAGATGCACTGCTAAAACTAAAAGCACCAGTGAATACGGGCACTTATCCACCAAGATAGATAAATTTACATATTAATGGCCCACATTGTACAACCAGACCATGTTTAGCTGGCTCACATGACCTTGAGTTTTTAGCATGTTTGAGAAGCTCATGTTTTTTAACCAACAAATGAATTCAGATCGATTATGATGGAAAAGTGGAATATGACTGATCCATAGAGGCCAAAGGAAATCTCAGGAAACTTACAGCCATCTGAGTGCCATAATTAGCATGACCATCTGCAGAGTTGCGACTGCGGAGAAATCTCAATAATCGAAATGTTTGTAGATGTCCAGAACCAGCCATAACCTACTCTCCAAGAACACACAACAAACTTAGAATTACTTTTTCCTATATTACAGAGGATGGTGAGAAAACAACATCAATAATCAAATTCCGCATACCACAGACAATGAAAGAACAATGAGATGAAGGCATATTTCCAAAGTGCCACGGTCAACATAACGAGACAATCCCTTAGGAAAGGCATTTCCAGTTGTAGCACAAACATGCTTGATCTGCAAAATTTCATTAACTTTTCTATCAACAAACTAATAGATACTAGTACAGCACTATCACACATGGTGAATGTAGGACCTCATTTAGAAAGTAAACAGCATATTCATAGAGTAATTCCTGCGCATTCCCATCCTTTGTGCCAGCAAATCTCAAACCTGCCCATAATTAATGATAATAATGGTCAGGATTTACAAGGGGGGGGGGGACAATACAAGAAAAGCAATGGGAAAAAAAAATTCAGACTGACATTAATTAACATGCCAAAATAGATAAATGCAATAAAATAATCGTGACAGACATTCAATTATGTCATTGTCCACGCACATAATTAAAAAAAAAAAAATTGTATGTGCACCCATGATTTCAATTTATATAACTTTTATGATAATTTTGTGTGCCCAGAACTCAACTTCATGTTGTTGATGATTAAAGATTATACGCACCAATCCAGTGTCTTCTGGACAATTTTCCTTTCGTCAAGTTGATCAACAAAAGCAAATATAAATAACAATTTAGTCTGAATGTAGTCAGCACAAGACAACCTTATGAAACTAAATATGGGCCAGTACTAAAGCTAGATTAACTATGCATTAGAGTCCACGATCATTGAGTACCACTTAAGATCTATTGCAGTATGTGACAACAATTCTTCAAGTTTTACCATTTAACACAAAATGTTTACAGCAGATCTGCCACCTGTTTGTCAAAATCAAACTTCATTTTCATTTTATGTAAAGAATGGGCATTTTTCACAAATAAGGAGTCACCACAGAAAGTCCCAGCTTCAGCTGATCCCAACTTTCCAATAAGCCTAGGCCACTGCTCAGATGCTTGAACAGACTGTATTGATTGCTTATGCAAGTTCTGTACATTCATAATGGCAATCAATTCTAAAGCAAAGGATGCATTGACTCACAAAACTGCATGCATGAGTTTCTGGATAGATGATTTTTTGATCTGGAAATAATGATTTCCTTTAAAATTGAGGACAAAACTGCATGCATGAGTTTCTGGATAGATGATTTTTTGATCTGGAAAAAGTGATTTCCTTTAAAATTGAGGAAATGAATTAATATTGCCTTGGCTAGCCAAAACCAAGATTTTAATTGCACTTTGCAAGAGGTGGCTTTGTTGGTTTTATCTGTCACAGGAAGCTCATCTTCGACTTAATTTGCTAAATTTTGATTTTAAAAAAAAAAAATTCTCTGTGCATCTGCATTGTCATTTTATGCTCAATAATTTCAAATTCTTCAATTTCTTAAAATAAAGCCACAGGCAAGTCCATACAGCAGATACCTTGGTGAACCAAAAGGCAGGATCACATTTGATATGAAAATCATTTCAGGAAATAAGTCTTAGAAGAATAACCATCCAAATCTGATCAAACAACAATTACTTACCAAGAGAAATACACGCTCCAGCCACAATATTGACATATGCCTGGACAAAGGTTTCTGCATCCATTTCATCCATGTCATTAACATGATCTTCAAGGCCATTAACACCACTTTTGACAATGTTAGGAATCTGGGACTGAATCCAATCATTGGATGGATGCACCCTGAATAAATGGTATGTGAGCTTTGAATCAGAGTCTTAATCGTATAGAGATAAAGCTTAAATGCAGCAATTAACATGACTAGCACTACCTGCTCCACATTATCAGATTCCGAGCTATGACACGAAGCATTATGAAGTCGGGTCTCACATATTGCAAATCAAAATGGGTCTGAGGAATAGAAAGCCTTGATACAACTGCCTCTGACTCGGTCTGCAAGACAAGGAGAACCAAAAATCTTTATAGATGATACAGCCATTTGCAGGAATTTCTTTTTAGAATCCTATGATCCTTATTAATCCTAAAACGCATTTGTTGCACGTTTCAAACTCAAGTACCTTCAAAAACATTAATGCAAGAGCAATGATAGCTCCAGGTGCAGTAACATCAACATTGACTGCAGTTCCATCCATCATCTGTGCACATTAGAGAAACAGTAGAACAATATATTAGGGAAAAGAAAAAGGTCCTGGAAACATTGCTGTGCCAGAGGTAGTGGAGATGACCTGTCCAGCACCATGGTTTTGTTCATCCGTTGATGGTGTCAAGAAAAGGGGTCTTTCCTGATTAAGAATAGAACAGGAAAGAGAGAAAATCAAAAACTCAATTAAGCATTCCAAAAGTAAAATTGCTCAAGGTGTTCATTTTAGTTACACCAAATTTACAACATAATTATAGGAATCCATAACAGCAGTAAAATCATCAAGAGAGAATTAACATCCCTACATTATACATCTCCTTGCCACCAATGTATTGGAACAATCGATCAACCAAGCTGTTCAAGAAACCAAGTGCATCTTCACCTCGACCTTCAGTTAGCATAACATAGTAATTCAAATGAAGTTCAGATTCTCAATATTTAATTGATCAAAGTATTAAATTATCCATACCCAAAGCAACAAGACCCAAAGAAAATCCTGCAGAAACAGCATAACCCTCTCTTTCAAGAACATTATCGCCTCCACTTCTACGGCCTATTTCTCCCTGCAGAAGTAATTTATGTAATCATAACTGAAAGGCATCATGTGCGTGTGTTGTCTGCAGGAGTGCACCCACAAGAGAGAGAGAGAGAGAGAGGAGGAGTATCAGAGGACAGTTAAGAAAAGAATACATAACACTCCACACTTGTAGCTGAATAGGGCATTAACAAGAGTACTTTTCATTCACATTAAGGTTTAATGGCTATATCATTCATTGTCTTGCAATCCAAAGCAATTAGTTAGTACCACATAATTGAATAGTTCATATTATTAAAAACATTATTAAAATCAAACAATTGGGAGTGCACCAACCCACTCAATCAAATCCTAGCCCAACCAACCTCACCAATTATTTGAGAGAAGGGGTAGGTTGATCAGTAGATTTGCGATACCCAACTGATCAAGTCATTGAAGATTATAAATACACCTGTCCAATCCAACCTGAAACACCAATACAAAAAATTGGATCTTTTGAACATTCCAAAAAATTCAGGCTCCTTTTTCTATATAATTCCAATTCCCACACCTTAAATAGGAACCTAATTTCCACAGATCTAAGATCTCATCTGCCATCTCCTTAGTTCTTTCATCATCTCTATGTCTCTCTCAAAGAATCTCCTCATCTTTGAGGATATCTTGGTTCTCACGCCATGAGAGCACAAAACTCTTATTTTCTGTCTGGCTTTGGCGGTTTTCTCCTCTCGACTTCTTATGACATTTCAGTAATCTGCCCCTAACATACATTTGTTTTCTTTGTAATATGAATGTGGTTTGTATTGGAGAAATGAGCTGAACTGGGGAGTGGAAATCAGTGGCTGGTTTTGGTGATGCTAGTTTTATACTGGTTGAACATTTTCTCAGTAATGCAGTAGGGTAAGAGAAATATGAAACTGGAGGTGGTTGTTTCTTCATTCTATTAGTGCTAATGGTTATCCATTTGTGACAGGCAGTTGACTTTGGATTAGAATTGGGGTTGTATGTGATTCACATAAGTAGCATTTGATGATGGAACCTGGGTGAAAAACTAGTGATTTCCACATTACAAGATATGCAAAGTGGGTTTGTTTGGGATTGTGAAATAGGAGAGAGAAATTTGCAGGATGCAGTTTAGCAATGCCAGGAACAATCATGCAGATACTCATCCAAACTGCCAACAGCAAATCAGGTCCTGTTTAAGCTGGCCCTACCAATTTAGAACGTTTGGATCATTTCTCGAATATTCATTACCACAAGTTTCAGAAGGTAAAATATATAAGATCAAAACCAATTTATCCTACTTGTGAACACTCCTAGTAAGAGTACTGAGCCAATAAGGCTAATGTGTGATGATATGTTTAGAAAGCACAGGCAAACAGAAAGGATCTAGTTATAATAGCCTCACTAGACTTGAGAGAGTACAATGAAGAATAGATGATTTTCTGCTGTCCAATTACACATTCCATACCATATTAAGCAGAAAAGGAAATACATGAAACTAATAGTAAAAAAATGAATCTACTACCATAGCTTTAAGTAAAAAGTTACCAGAAGAATCTGCATTGTCGGCGGGTGAACTGATCCCTCATAGAGAAGCCCAGCTGAAACTAGTGCTGCTGACTGGAAGGCAACAGAATAGAATGTGAGGTCAAATCAATATTCCAACTACTGCCAAATAAATCTCATGACTATTTTTTACACCTTTGCAAATTGATCAATCATTCAAGACTCAATTTTAGCAACAACTGTAACCAAGTAGAGAGTCAACTGCAATATGAGGAAGAAAACTGGAATTCACCAACTACAGCAAGGAAGTCCACAAAATAAGCTTATACCAATTTAGAACAGAGTCTGGAAAGTGCTTCTCAAGAAAATAGTGTTCTGAAGAATTTTTTTTGTATGCTAATGAACACATCTTTGGATGCATCAATGCACGCCTTTTAAGTTTTTGCAAACAATTAAACTTTGCCTTCCTTGTAGAAGAAACAAATATATTCATTTCCAAATGTAAAAAAAAAAATCACAAATTATTTTATGATGTAATTCAAGTGAGACAGTGATAAATACCTGCACAAGGGTTGGTAACTCCAAATCCGGAAATGAAGAAGAATGCCGA